CCCCAATTCACTAAATCCCAAATTTATTCTTTTCAGCCCTGCAGCATTGGTTTTTTTCCCCCCAAAAAAATTCCAGATGGAGTGGGGAGCGGAGAGTTCTATATAGACTCTCCATTGAAGGAGATTTCTAGGGAACAAAATTTTCAGGAAGGGGGGGGGAAAGAGTTCCAGCTGTATCTTCCAGAGGAAGAGCAAAACCACCACCACCACAACAACAACATCAACAAAAAGGGGGGGGTGCACCCATTGCGAGGTGGCTCCTCTCCCCAAAGCAGACCTGAAGGAAAAGTGGGCTCCCCCATTTCAAAGTGGGGGGAGCTGGAAGGAGAAAGAGGCCGGGGGGCGCAGTTCACGGATTCCGTAAGTCTGGATACTTTACTATTATACCTTATTGTTGTTGTTATTATTATTATTATTATTATTTTTGTGGGGAGGGGGTGACGGTCCTGCATTTAAATACTTTATTGACACCTTGGGGAGGGTTGTTTCCTGTGTGTTGTGTGTCGCCCTCCTCCCTGGTCTGTGGTGGCGGTGGCCTCCGTCTGAAGGCCTGCAGATGTGAGTGTCTATGGGGGGGGGAAATGGCTTGGTGGGGGGGTGGGGAGGGGAGACATTTTATTTTATTTTATTTTATTTGGGTGGGCGCTGCTTTTCAAGTGCCGGGTTTGGGCAGGATGATGTTGGAATACAGGATGGTTGTGTGTCGCCCTCCTCCCTGGTCTGTGGTGGCGGTGGCCTCCGTCTGAAGGCCTGCAGATGTGAGTGTCTATGGGGGGGGGAAATGGCTTGGTGGGGGGGTGGGGAGGGGAGACATTTTATTTTATTTTATTTTATTTGGGTGGGCGCTGCTTTTCAAGTGCCGGGTTTGGGCAGGATGGTGTTGGAATACAGGATGGTGAATGAAAACCTGAGAGCTACGACACAGAGGCTGGTGGCATTGGGTGGAATTTCGGGATGCTGGGGGGGGGTGTTAAAGGCTGTGAAATGGGGGGGGGTTGCCACACCGTTGGAGGCATGCATTTCTCTATCCACCCTGCACCATCTCTCACTTCCCCCGGATCGTGCCTTTTCCCTCCCTGTTCTAATCTCCCCAGTGAATGAAACTATGAATTATTACATTTCTGCTGCACCTTCGCCACAGCTTTGGTGGAGAGACTCCGTTTACAGCAACCAAATACCCCAGGGCCTCCTCTCCTTCCCGGTGCCTGGCCTTTCTTTCTCTCTCTCTCTCTCTCTCTGTCTATCTCTGCCTCCATCTCTCGTTCATCTAGGCCAGGGAGCTCTTTCGGATTCCCAGGTGGCCGAGAGTGAGTTGCGTCCGTCCGTAGCCGGGGCCCATCTGCCACAACGATGGCCTCCTCGTTCCCCCCCCCACACACAAGCAGAGACCTCCCATCTTCTTGCCTTTTCTCTCCAAGGCAGGCGAGGGCCAAGCGGATGGTGTGTCTGCGGTGGAAGGGCGACTGGGGCAGGCATGCTAAAGCAGAAACTTCTGTCCTAGCAGCAGGGGGGGAAGAGATGGTTAAAAGTGGGTGGGTGGGTGGACCGTCGAAGGATTCAGGAGACCACAAAGGGACTCAAGGGCTTTCTGGTCCTTTCAGGAACATGGATCAGGCCCAGCTGGACCGGGCTGGGCACTGAGGTGTGGTGATGATGAGGCCTTCTAGCAGACTCATCTGTGGGAGATGATTTTGCCTGGTCTCTGCCCAGTTTTCCATGGTTACCTGATCTCCCTCTCCCCGCTAGGCTCTAATGCCATCATGCCACTTCCGTCCATCCTCATAAGGAGGGTGTTAAGACCATAACTCTTCCATTACAGCTCGCTGGGTCTGATCACTTTTTAAAGCCTCAGAAATAAGTTTATGCAAGTGACTAGACCTCTTGTTTTTTTTCTTTTTAAAAAACCAGCTCACTCCCTTGCATCTCCTTGTGCCGGTCCCTTATGGCACATCAAGGATCTTAGGAGGAAAGCGTTGACTTCCTTCTAGTTTAACAGAACATGATGTGCCTAGTCACTGTTGGAGAATTCTTTCTTGCCACCCTTTTAACGGCTATTGACACAGAATCCATCTTTCTCCCTGTGAAATCTCTTCCCATAGAACCTTGTGAAAGAGCGTGCACGCAACCATCATCTTTGATGGCAGGGTTGGTGGTGGGATCTTCTGAAAAACCCTTTGTGTCACCAACTCATCAAGAGACACGTTAATCAAGGGTCTGAAGCATCTCCTGGATTAGCAAAGATGGCAGGGTTTGGAACCTATTAGTTTAGGGGCAAAAAGAAGAGGGGAGACGTAAAAAGATCTCTAAAATTAGGGATGGGGTAAAAAAAAAAAGTAGGCAGGAAAAAGCTCTCCCCCCCCACTCTCTTATAATATTAGAGCCGCAATGCCATCTGATTAAACTGAATGGTGGGAGGTTCAGAACTGCATGTAGTTAAACTATGGAACTCATGGTCACAAGATCGATTGATGATAGCCACCAATTTGAAAGCGACTCAGGTCCAATCATGGAAAGTAAGGCTACCAAATAGTCATTATGAGGACTAGACTTTACCTCCAGTGACTCTGTGGCGCTCCAGTTGCCGGGGACCACGTGCCCGAGGGTACAAGTGTGCTCCTGTCCAGCTCGTGAGCTTCCTAGGAGCATCGTGTTGATCATTCTGGGAACAGAATGTGAACTAGAACAGCCCCTGTTGTTGGCCTGGCGTGGCTCTTCTTAACGATCTTAAAACCTTTCTGACAACGATTCCAACAGCCTGAAAAGTTCGCGTTTTGGACTAAAGCACCCATTATTCCCTGGCTTACTGGCTGAGAATTTTGAGAACAGTGGTTAAAAAAAAAAAAAACCCAATACATCCAAGCTGTGATAAATTTAGCTTCACCTACTACCAAGGCATAGTGCCGAAACAGTAGAAACCCTGTATGTTCATGTTACTACTCCTACTGCTGCTGCTACTACTATTAGCAGTACTAGCAGTATTTCTAGATCCGTGGTTCTCCAAGTAGTCTTCACCTGTAGTCTCATAATGTTTTCCCATCTCTACCAGTTTCTTTGAGGACTTCCGCAGTTTCCCCTATAGCCTCACGCATGCTTTCTTTCCTCGTTTTGCCTGCTACAGACCTTCTTAGTCGTGGCACCCCTTTGTGACTGGTGGAGTGTCAGCCAATGGTAGGGAAAGCCTGGGGTGACAGTCAGGGGTAAAAGTGGGTATTCATATGCACGCACACACAAAAATACAAAAACAAACGTGTGCATGCATGCACAGGCATTCCCTCAGGCACTGCCTCATCACCATCCTGTTCATTTTATTCCCCAAAATTAAAAATGCTACTATTGTCAACTGCTTCTCTCCCTGCTGTTCCCTCTCTGTCCCTTACAAATGCACACAGAACCTTTTGCGTCGGGGTAAGAGGAAGATGGTAGTGGGCTGGTTGGAGGGGAGACCTATCTCAAGGTGGAGCAGGGCCCCGTTGTCTCTAAGAGCTGGCCTCCCCACAGCCTTTGCTGGGGAGCATTACCAGGCACCCCATAGACAGACTCCTGTTCCAGTCCTCCACAATCCTGTCTCTTCCTCTCAATCCTGCATGGGTAAAGGCGTAGGCCTAGGCGGCTGAGAAACGCTCAGTCAGGTGTGTCACCTGCCTAACCCAGCGTTTTTAGACTCTTGGCTGTGAGGGGAGCTCACCTGGATCGCAGACAGAGCGGTTTTCCATGCTGCTCTAACCTGCTTCTCACCTGAAATCCCAGGTATTAAATTTGGGACCTCCCGCCCGAAAAGCACATGTTCCTTCCGCCATCTTCTTCAAAATCCCTTCCCTGTCCTTCCAAGATGTGCCCCATCTACCTGGAGCGGTCGGTGACACAGGACAGGACTTTGGCATCCCGCATAGGTATACAGAAAAGGGGATTTCAGCAGGGCAGAGCGGAAGCGTCGTCTTCCTCCATCCAGCCTACCGAGACCTCCTGTTCTGCTTCCTGAATCCCCAACGCAACACCTCTCTCGAGCTGCAAATATTAGGAATCTCTTCCTAGCAGCCCCAATTCAAAGCTTCCCATACTTTTCCCTCTGGAAGTGGTTCTTGAATGTCTTCCTCCTACTCAGAGGTTGGGGGGGGGGGGAAGAGAGAGAGTTACTTTTAAGGACCACAGCTGACTGGGGGATTCCAGGAATTTTAGTCCGCGATGTTGCCAGGCTGTGCCTCTCTTCTCCCCCACGCAAGAACCTCTTGATGTTCTCCCGTGTGATGGTCTTTCCTCTCCTCCTCCAGGCTCCTTTTATCTGATGACAGGGCTTCTTTTATCTTGCATCCACCTGCCTCGCTGCTAACCCTACCCTCTTGGTGAAGCCTTTATTGCAGATTGTCTTCATCTCATAATCGCCACCAGCAGCCACCTCTTTTCCCCTCCTTCCTCCTGAGGCAACCTACGCCTTCCTCCTGCTCTTACGCCTCTTTCTCCTGGGATGCCTGTTCCATTTGCCCCTAAATCGACAGCCGCACATCCATCCTCCCGCTCGCTTCTCCGACTCTCCCAATACGACTCTCACCTTTCCCTGGGCTTGAGTGACCTCCGCTGAACCCTGTCTGTGACTCCCCTCCTTCAGTCATTTATCCGACACCCTCGCTTTTCCCTCTTGGCAGAGCCAGCTGTGCCGTTAGACGGGGTGCTGGAGGTGGCCCACCTCGGGCAACAGAGTGGGGAGGTTTCTCCAGAAGCCTGCACGTCGTTGTGGATTTAGTGGTGTGTCCGTGGCATGGGTGCCACTGAGGCTTTCTGCTTCAGGTGCTTAGCACTTCCCAAACCCCATGTGAGCAAAACGAACAAGTAAACAGACCAAACCGTACCAGTTTCCTCTCCCCCACCCCACCCCATCGATCTAGCTTTCGTAAGGTTCCCAGTATCTTTCGTCTTGAGCTTCTTCTCCCTTGTCGGTCCACTCCTGGCCTCCTTGGAATGAGGACTTCTCCCTCCTGTTCCTTCCCCACACCTGATGATGACAAATCAGGCCCTTTTAAAAAAACAAAACACAAAATCTTGGATGGCAGCAGCAATGCTGTGCCACAGCAGAGCATCCTGGCTGAGCAGCTGTTGGGGCTGCGGGTGGCGCGTTGAGAGGAGAGGGGGGGTTGAGGTTCTGGCCCTGCCAGTCCCACTTAGCATCTCCCCCACCCCCTGGCAGCTGCTCCATGCACTGTGGCAGAGACGGAAACCGATCCCTGTCAGGCACCTAATTGCTGTGACAGCCACTGCTGATCCAACGAGGTCTGGGTGTTGAAGCTTTCCTCAGGGCTTCAAGGCAGTGGGACTGGGAGTGTGCAGTGGAGAAGGCGATGCGGCCCTTTGGGGTCTGGAGAGGGTTT